TGCCCAATAGCAAGCTGCAGTCATCAAAAATACTTTCTTCTACTAAAGTGAAATGTGTCTCTTCAGAATCCCCATCCATCCCCAGTGATAAGGTTTGGATATTTGTCCCACCCAAATCTCGTGTTGAAATGTGAGCCCCAGTGTTGGAGGTAGGGCCTGGTGGGAGGTGTTTGGGTCATGGGGGCAGATTCCTCATGGCTTGGAGCTGTCCTCACCAGAGTGAGTGAGTTCTCATGAGATCTGGTTGTTTAAAAGTGTGTGGCACCTGCCACTCCACAGCTTGCTCCACTCTCACCACGTGGCGTGCCTGCTCCAGCTTCGCCTTCTGCCACAGGTAAAAGCTCCCTGAGCCTTCCCCAGAAGCCTCAGGTGCTACTTCTTGTGCAGCCTGCAGAACTGTGAGTCCATTAAACCACTTTTCTTTATAAATTACCCAGCCTCAGGTATTTGTTTATAACATCGCAAAAACAGCCTCACACACCTGCAGCCCATCTCTGACCTCTTTAGCAATCCCCTTTCTCAAGACAGAGCTCTAGAGACTAAGGAGGTGGTTCTGTTCCTCTACCCATTCCTCCCACGACTTCTCCTTTCCAAGACAAACATTCCCCAGGTAATCATTAAAATGACTTCTGTGATTTATATTTCCTTCTCTTTCCTCAAACACAGCAATGTTTTGTTTGTGTGCTGTCATCCAAACAGCAATGTGGAGAAGGCTGAAGATGTGGGGCCCATTGTAGATCCTAGCAGCTCTATGACCTTCAGCGTTCTTCTCCAGGTGTTTTCTGAGGTCGCAGTGGAAGCAGGTGGGAAGAAGTGCCCATCCTACTTTGGAGCTCTCACATCTCACAGGAAAGCTGCCCCTCACTGCTGGGCTCCCTGCACTGCCTAAGTGCCTCCTCCCAGGCGGGGCCCCCCTTTGTGCTTGCTGGTAAAGAGGCATGTCAATAACACCCCACAGAGGACAGCCAGCCCCACCCAAGCCCAGGTGAGGCCACGCCTGAGATCCATTCCCAGCACCTGAGCAGGGTCACGTGGAGATAATTTACCAATGCCAAAGATGTCACCCACCAGGTAGTTCCATTCTGTGCCAAACCCTAAGGCCAAGCAGCAAGGCAGTCAATGGGTTGTCCCCCAGACAATAAATCATGGCCCACATTGTGACTATTTTTGTAGAAGTAAAGCTCAGGAAGAGAAATGGGTTCTGACTGAGCCAATGTTCAGAGAACATTCTTAATAATTTTAGATACATGTCCAATTTTGAAAATAGATTTTTTTCCCAAAGCCAAGCTTATATGTACTAGCATTTCTCATGAGTAATTTGGTATAACTACAAATCTCTCTCACAGTTCCTGGAACATAACAGTGAACAAAGGAGAAACAAGGAATTACTATCAATCTTTGTAACCCAGGAGACTACCTAGAACCCCCCTGTGGTCCCAGAGAAAAGCCTGTTCCCACACTCCTCCCACTGTGTACTCTGAGCCTATTTCCCCAAACCCTATTTGCCAAAGGAGGCAGAGCCTCTGGTGGTTGACCCCAGATCCCAGGAAACATCAGCGAACACACTGGCATGGCTTTTTATGGTGGACCAAGCACTCCTATTGGGTCAATCTTCGTAAGTGTCCCATGAAACACCAGTTTCACAGATGGGAAATTTAAAGGACACACCCAAGGTCACAGAGCTGCTAAGTTCTAGAACGGACCCCGTATCTTCAGATTCTTTGTCTACCTGCTGCTTGGATCCACATGTGTTTGAGGAAAGGGAGGGAAACCATCATAGTAGTCACGTTTAACCTGCATCTGAAACCTAACTGCTTTAACTAAGACTCTTTTACCCAAGAAAGAAAAGATTTATACTGGGATTGTGACACATTACATTATTGACTCAAATTTTTCGTCCCTCCCTGTTGCCATGCCCTTTGACCTAGGACTTCGCAGTTCCTCGTAAGAAAAAGACAGAATGTATTTTCCTATTCCTCAGCTCTGTGAGGTAAAGGCAAAATGACAAAGTGCTGACCCTAAGACAAGGCTCAAGAGCCTGGCATGCTTCCAGTTGCTCTCTGATATCTGTCCTATCACCATGAGAAGAGCACCCCTGAGCTGGCCTGCTGGCCCCAGGAACAGCCTAAGAGATCCAAGGTGCAGAGATGCCCCAACTGAAAAACCCAACCAAACCCAGTGAGAGCAGAGCCCTCTGCCAACCTGCAGCAAAAACTCCTTAACAATTAGACTGGTACAGGCCGCCTTCCCCTGTAGGAATTGGTACAGAGGAAGTCCTAACCCCTCCATTAGCGAATTCCTATATTGAAAGAGCAGCTGGAATACACTGTTCCAGACTTTGGGATTTTAGGAATGAGTAAAGTTGAGAGAAAAAAAAAAAAAAAAAAAGCAGGGGCAGGGGAGGTCCTAGGCTACTAATTTTTTGCTTTTCCAAGCAAAGGCAATACATAAAAATAACCATGACTTACTATCACCATCAATTCATAAAAGATAGGACATTTTAACACTAAAACTGAGGACAGGATATAATCTTAGAATATGAAACAGTCCTTTCTAAGCAAAGACACTTGGCCACCCTCCATATGTGAGCCTTTTTCCTTCCTTCTGTCACAGATCAATGAAAATTCTGTCACAAAATAGCTCTGGCCTGTGTAACAGCAACTTTTCTGCACGCTTTATGGTAGAACTGTCAGAAGAACATGAAATTAGCTACATAAATTGTGAGACTTAAATCTTGGTTCTGTTTGCTCTGCGACAATATAAAACTTACCTTTAAAAAAAAAAAAAAAAAGTCAAAGAAGAAAACAAAGCTAAAGATAAATTTGAGCACCTGGGTCGCACCCTCTCCACTGGCTACCAAAGGCAGAGCACCCAGCACAGCTGCCAACCCTCACCTCTGTGCCGCTCCCGAGTAGCACTCGGCAGTTCCCTAAGTCGCCAGTGCTGTACTTCCGTGAATAACGTCTGAATAAAAAGCACAGTGGTGACTTAAGTGAAAGCTCTACTGGGGCTACGGGGACACATAACTGGGACAAAAGAGGGAGGCAGAGAATCCCCAGCATCAGCTCCAGGGACACACGGCTCAGACAGCCGAGTGCTGTCTTCTCTCTGAGCCCTAGAGAGCCAGTCCAACCTTCTGCCAGATGTGTGGTGACCTGGGAGAAGAAAGAGGTCTCAAAGTGGATGGCGGTTCTAACAGACTAGACTATCCTTTGAAACTACCCTCTGTGCAGTGGATGCCACACTGGATCTGGCTAACAAAATGTGAGCCACAACTTCAGGTGTCAGTTCCCTGCAAAAGCTTTAGGAGCCAATGTGTGGTTCTCGAAGTCTCTCATCTCTCTCTGTCATGAGACCATGAGCATTTTCTTTTCAAGACTGAGTTTTGCTCTTGTTGCTCAGGCTGGAGTACAATGTCATGATCTCAGCTCACTGCAACCTCTGCCTCCCGGGTTCAAGCAATTCGCCTTTCTCAGCCTCCCAAGTAGCTGCGATTACAGGGGCCCATCACCACGCCTGGCTAATTTTTTAAATATTTTAGTAGGGTTTCACCATGCTGGTCAGGCTGGTTTTGAACTCCTGACCTCAAGTGACCCACCTGCTTCGGCCTCCAAAAGTGCTAGGATTACATGCGTGAGCCATGGCACCAGATCGACCATTGGTGTTTTCAATAGAGGCAGCTCCTGCAGTCTGAGGCCCAGACTAAAGCCTGTAACCAATTCCCAAAGGGCACATAACGTGGGTAAGAAATAAATCTTGATTAGTGGGGATCACTGAGACTTCAGAAGCATTTGTGACCTACAAATGGACCTACAAATATCCAAGCTGACCTACACGATAGGGATGCTATTCATTGGGTTGGAGAGCTCAACAGCAGTGACAATGGAGGAAGACGGCGAGCTCGTCTTGGAGGTATTTCTGTATTTGGTCCCTGGGTGACAGGCAGGGGTGACTGTTGAATAGAGAGATGCCTAAGACACAGGGCCCTGACCCCACTGAGCACATGATCAGCTGGGAAGGCTCTGGATTTTCAATGCAGAGAAGCAAGGGCTGTTCTTTGGAAGTGGAAAGCCTGGGATCTAATCCCAACCTGGACATTTCCTTCCCACCTTCATTCATTCCTCCCAGGGATACTTACTGAGCCAGGCACGGGAGAAACAAACAAGGTTCCTAACCTCACGGGCTCACATTCAGGTGGAAGGAGAGACTAATTCAGGAGGAGAGATTTACTAATAAGTAAATCTAATCAATACCAGCTGGGTGCACTCTCTTCAGGAAATGAGCAGGTGAGCTGAGGGACACTGGGGAAGGCGACTGTAGGTAAGAAGCCCAGGAAAGGCCTTTCTAAGGAGGGGAGGTTTGAGATGGAAAATGAGAACGTGTCAACCATGCCGACAGCCACAGAAAGACAGAACACACGAGCAGAGCCATGGCAAGCACAGAGGGCCTGAGATGGGAAAGAGGATGGCTCGTTTGAGGAACAGGGAAAAGGCCAGAGCTTTGGAAAGCAGGTGGGCAAAGAAGGGCTTTCAAGGAGCCACACTGCCCTAATAGTCTATATTTGGGTGACGCTGACCTCTTCATTCAGCCATCTGTCATCTAATCAACAAGTCTATACCCAGAGCCCACAGTGTGCCAGGCTGTGGCCAGGATCCAGGGATGTGGGTCCTGTCCACCAGGTGCTCCTGCAACTCCCAGAGCTCACTGTCTTATGACCATAGAGAAGATGCCTCTGAGGAGCTCTTGGTGGCTACAGACGCTGTGAGGTGACAGCAGTGGGCGAGAGCCATGTTCATCCCTTCCCAGAAGAGTGGGGAGTTCCCATTCAGCATCCCTGGGGCCTGCAGCCTCCTGGACTCTTGCTGGGAGATACTAGGGGCAGAATGGAGATTGCATAAAGTCCTCTTCCCCCTAACAGTCCCTCAGCACCCCTCCCCAACCCCAGAGAGAGGCAAAGCTGTGGAAATCATCTGGCACGGGGCCCAGAAAAGTGGTCCTACCGTGGAACCAGGGGGCGATGAATTTGGTGTTCCTCTCGAAGCCAGCTCGGCGAGGCAGCTGCTCCTCCTTAAACCAGCGGACGATGACGTCTCTGGAGACCGGGCGCAGCGGGCGCTCCCAAGTCCTGCTGAAGAGAAAGAAAGGGAGGCCGGAAGAGTCAGGGAGGAAGAAAGGATGGAGGGAGAGGAAGGGGAGGGGAAGGAAGGAAAGAGGAAAGGGAGAGGAAGGTAACGGAAGAAGGAGGAAAGGGGGTGAAAGAAGGCGCAGGGGAGGGCCATGAGACTATGAATAAGCACAGTGCCCACATCCATGCCTACAAAGAGGATTAGAGCAGCCCAGGTACTTGAAGGCACTTTGCAGATTATAGTGTACCAGCTGTCACTATTTATTTAAAAGAAAACTGTGATCAATTGCATCAAAAAAACAGTCACACAGGTGGGAATGAAGAGACTAGGAGCAGGTGTCTGAGGGAAGGAAAAGGCACATGTTCCCTGGAGCATGGCCAGGGTATAAATACCAGCATGGATGAAGGAGGCTCCTGACGGGACAAGAGCTCATGTGCTAGGAACTGAGTGTGTCCCATCCCCTTCTCTCCCTCAGAAAAATTCGGAATCTTGTCCCCTCCTTACCTCTCCCTCCCTGCTCTCTGAGGGGATGCCAGCCTTTGCCACAACTCCTGCACTTTTGGGAGGGAGAATCAGGACAATGAACAGAGAGAGAAACCAGAGAACCTCAATTTGCTCTGGAAATGGCTGTTTCCCTGCCCAGAAAATAAAAAGTATGACAGAGGAAACGGAGGCAGAAGGAAACAAAGCCACGCATTGGTAACTACAGATGGAATGGGTGAGGGACTACAGGCACGAAGGGCAGAAGGAGGAGGGGCACAGAAGAGTTTGCAGGAGGGAGAAGATACGTTTTAAAGTTTCCTCACAGGTGAGCCAAGATGGTCATTACTTTCATGTCTGAACTGCAATTCCAGGATGTGTACGTAGACTGGGCCACATGAGACCCTGCTGCACTTGGGGTACACTGAAAGCACATAAGAGCTGGCAGCACATTACGCATGACAGACATCCACAACTATGTGGTGAAGTACGATGTGGTGACGCCACGTGCATGAATTCAGGGCACAAAAATACAGCATCTGGGCTGGGCGCGGTGGCTCATGCCTGTAACCCCAGCACTTTGGGAGGCCGAGGCAGGTGGATCACTTGAGGTCAGGAGTTCGAGACCAGCCTGGCCAACACGGTGAAACCTGTCTCTACTAAAAATACAAAATTATCCAGGCATGGTGGCAGGCACCTGTAATCCCAGCTACTCAAGAGGCTGAGGCAGGAGAATCGCTTGAACCCAAGAGGCAGAGGTTGCAGTGAGCTGAAATCGCGCCACTGCACTCCAGTCTGGGCGACAGCGTGAGACTCTGTCTCAAAACAGAGTGAACAAGGCCACAGCCCACCTTCAACAACCACAGCCTCTTCGCCATTTCCAACAGACAGGAGCCTGGTAAATTCCTATTTTGTCATTGCTATCCACCTAATAGTACTGGCATTTAGAATTCATGGTTATCCTTGTTTTTTATAAAATCAATGCCAGCTGTCCCCTCATGTGGTCTCTGTATTTGCCCTGTGCTCACACTTTGACACTGAGCTCAGCACACCTCCTTACAAGCCCAGAAGAAATCCAAGGGGCATTTCTTTACTTGCCCTAAACGGAACACACTCGCACATGTACACGCATGCACATACACAGTAGCGAACGCTGTATATTTGAGAAAAGATGTCAGAAAAAGGACAGAAGGTGAGGTTACATTGCATGGCTTACAGCCGTCATCTGCGGAGCTGGCCTGCACACCCTGTCTTCCCACTCGCTGCCTCTCTGGACCTTCCTTTAACCCCTACAGCCCAACAGCCGGCCGCCTGTCTTCCCAATCCCTCTTCCTTCTCAGTAACCTCAGATGTCTTTGCTCTTCATCAAGCGACGCAGGGCAGCCCACTTCACCCAGCCTCTTCCTCCACATTTGCATTCTCCAAAAAATAGCTGTGCTCAGAGGGAAAAACTCCTCTAGTTTCTAGGACTCGCTTTCCTTAGAAGGCAATAGGAAGTTATATATAACAGCAAAAAATAAATTCACTCACTCTCATCCCTCTGTTTCTAAGCAGTTGATGTGAGTTTGTTTCTAAGCAGAGAATTTCTAAGCAGGGAATCTGACTCCCCCAGAATATAAATGCTACATTTATATGCCTTAAAATGTTGATCATTCTATATAAATTAGATAGTTTGCCCTTCTTTTTTCTTTTTCAGCTAATCGATGGCATTTCCTCTTGTTATTAAACCTTCAAAGAAGTCACTTTTAATTCCAGAAAGCATTGCAACGATTTAACCAAAATTCACTAAACAATTACATTGCTCCTGACTTTTTGCCATTATTATTAACACTATGATAATCATCTTTGCACTTTTTCAATTTGCAGCTAATTTCCTTAGCATAGATTCTAGCAGGGAAATTACTAGCCAAAATCATACCAGCAGTAAAGAGTAGGGCCTGGGTAAAAAGACATGTGAGCAGCTTGTGTACTGGTCCACAAGAGCTGATTGTTACATTTTCAGGAATTTTATAAGCCATTTGTTAAACACAGTCATCATTAAAACTTAAATGTCATAGGCTGGGCACAGTAGCTCACGCCTGTAATCCCAGTACCTAGGGAGGCCGAGGTGGACAGATCACCTGAGGTCAGGAGTTCAAGACCAGCCTGGTCAACATGATGAAACTTCGTCTCTACTAAAAATACAAAAATTAGCTGGATGGGGTGGTTACATGCCTATAATCCCAGCTACTTGGGGGGCTGAGGCAGGAGAATCGCTTGAACCTGGGAGGTGGAGGCCGAAGTGAGCCAGGATCGCACCACCACTGCACTACAGCCTGTGCCACAAAGCAAGACTCAGTCTCAAAAAAATAAAAAGTTAAATCTAATAATTGTACAATTAAATAAATGTTATTAAAACAAGGATAATAAATACTCATAACTCAGAAAAAAAGAAAGAGCATAAATACTAAATCTGATTCCAAGAGGCCACTTGGCCCAAAGCCTCACTCCCAAATCTGAACCTTTCCTCCCATAAGTGACACACATCCCTCAGCACAGACAGTTGAGGTGTCCTGGCAGGCGCCACATAGGTTAGAGCAGTGAGGCCATGGGGACCCGTCCCATGGGGCAGCCACAGGAGAGAGGCTGATGAGGGGGCCTCTCACTGCCCCCGCCTGCTGATCTGTGTGCACAGCTGCTTGGGGCTCACTTCAGAGTGAGACCACTGGTCCCCTATTGGCTGCACACAGACAGCCCGAAGCCAGGCTGCACCATGGTCCATGTGGCTCTGTCAAATGGGCCTGAGGGATAAATTCTAGGTTTCTTTTAAAAAGTATAAATGGTGAGAAGGCTTTTCTATGCCCCCAAATTTAGAAAATATAAAAGAGGCTGGGTGCGGTGGCTCACACCTATAATCCCAGCACTTTGGGAGGCCGAGGCAGGCAGATTACCTAAGGTCAGGAGTTCAAGACCAGCCTGACCAATATGGTGAACCCCTGTCTCTACTAAAAATACAATTAGCCGAGCATGGTGGCATGTGCCCATAATCCCAGCTAATCGGGAGCTGGGGCAGGAGAATCACTTGAACCCGGGAGGTGGAGGTTGCAGTCAGCCAAGATAGTGCCACTGCACTCCACTCTGGGAGACGGAGTGAGACTTCAGCTGGAAGGAACGGGGGAGGGGGAGGAAGAAAGGAAAGAAAGAGTGAGTATAAAAGAAAATTTGACTTTATAATAAGAATTTCTGCATGACAAAAAATTTCATCATGAAAATCAAAAAATAAGTGCCAAATGGAGAAAGAATGCTTATCACAGACAAAAGAATCCTCTTCCCTAATATTTAAGGAGTTCTTAGAAATCAATAAGGAAAAGATAAAACAACAAAAAGAATTTACAGCACATTGTGCAGTAGAATACTATGCACCTATAAAAAAAAAACCCTAACTATATAATGTAAGAATTGATATGAAAAGCCTTCTAAAAACTAGTTAAATGAGGGAAAGCAGTCAAAGTGCAGAACCCCATACATGATACGCAAACTTTTATACAAAAAAAAAAAAAAGAGGAGGAATAAGGCCTTTCATGTTGGTAATTGCAAAAACAAAGTGGGCAGATACATAAAAACTAAGAATCAGTAGTTACCACTGGAAGAAGAGGGAACAGAGTAGATGAGAGAGCAAGTCAGCCGTTTCTCAGTATACCTTTTTAAACCTTCTGGTTTGAGAATCTTATACTTGACAAGAAAGGAACGGGTGGGAAGGAGGGAGGGAAGAAATGAAAACATCATCAACCATCTCTAGACTGCAGGCAAAGGGAGAAGAAAGTTATGAGTAACCCCAAACCCCAACTGAAGCAAAATTCAGACACCCCTTCATTATCTGGGGGTGACCAGACTCTTCTGCAGATTACTTGAGGAGCCGGCAGGTGCTCACCACTCAGCCTCTGCCCTTCTGGGGACAGTGGTTGTTCAGCAGTGGTAGGGGGAGGGGGGCACCCAAGAGGAGAGAGGCCAAACCTTGCAGCTGGTCTAAGGTGGGGACCCACAGGTAGAAGGAAGAGAGGTACCCTGCCACATCCTAACCTTTGGTCCTGGCACTTTTGGTCACCTAAGTGCCCTTGCCAAACTAACCATTAGGGAACACAAATGTGTGTGAGGACCCTCCTGCATCCATCCGTGCTAAACTGCAAACCTACCACTCCAATTGGAGATAAACCGGCGCTGCCTGGGGTTCCGAGAGGCAGCAAGCCGAGGTGTCCAGGCTGCCGCCATGCTGCACCCACATGAGGTCTCATTACAAGCTCTTAACCTGGGGCCCTTAGTCTTAAATTGCATGCAAACATTCTACGTCTTTATATATGCACATTTCAGGGGAAAGATGGTACATAGCTTTCTTCGGATTCTCAAAGGAATCCTTGGCCGGCCACGGTGGCTCAAGCCTGTAATCCCAGCACTTTGGGAGGCCAAGGCGGGCAGATCGCGAGGTTAAGAGATTGAGACCATCCTGGCCAACATGGTGAAACCCTGTCTCTACTAAAAAATACAAAAATTAGCTGGGCGTGGTGGTGCGCGCCTGCAGTCCCAGCTACTAGGGAGGCTGATCTCCTTGAACCCACGAGGCGGAGACTGCAGTGAGCCGAGATTGTGCCACTGTACTCCAGCCCGGTGCCTGGTGACACGGCAAAACTCTGTCTCAAAATAAAAAAGGAATCCTTGACCTTAAAAAGGTCAAGGCCCCCGGAAGTCCAAAGTTACAAATCTCCAACCTCCACACCGCTCCTCCCTCTCCTATCCCAGACTGGGGCTGAGGTCCAGAGGGGAAATGCTAGCCCCAAATTGCACAACAAATCTGGGGCAGAACCGGGACTGAGACCCCGGTGTCCCATGCCCTAACCCAAGGCCCTTGCCCCAACCACGCCAATGCGGAGCCCCGACCCACCTGACCGGCAGGGCGAGGGGCGCCGGCGGACCTGGGCCCGGGAGGTGATGGTAGAGTCTTGCTTCCTGCTCGTGGCTCTGGCCGAGCTCCTGGAACATGGAGCTGAGGCCGGCGACCGTGCCCTTCTGGATAGCACGGAGCGAGTGGCGTCGGTACTCGTCCCGGGCGCGCTGGGCTTCGCGGCTCCTCTCCTCATCAGCTGCCTTGGACCGGCGCACTGGAAAGAGGAAGAGCGTTAGCCCAGATCCGCAGCCCAGGCGGTGCACTGCGCCAGCTGTGACAGAATGTATGCGGTTGGTGAAAAAATAATTGCCGTGTAATGGCAAAAATCGCGATTACTTTTGCACCAATCTAATAGTTCAGGAACCGCAGGATTCACCTGGCTGCAAGGAAGTTCAGAACACAGAACAAGAGGGCAGGCCCTGCCCAGCCATAGCAGCAGCCCTAAGGTAATCCTGTCCCTACAGAGGTAAAGACAAGTGTGTCCCTGCAGAGGTGAAGATACCCTGACAGTTTAGGATTGTCTGATTGTTCCTGTGACAACATTCCAGAATGACCAAACCACCCTGGGATAGAAATTTCCATCTCCCTATGTATTTCTTCCTGGGAGTGCTCTCAAATCCTCTGCCTACTCATCTCCCCTGTCAAGGTGGCCAGCACCTCCAGACACCACCACCGTCACCCACATTGACGGTGCCAAGGCTTGGTGCCTTCCCTGTATTATCTCACTAGGAGACTTCCCCAACCACATCACCGTTTCTGCTTTATGGGTGAGGAAAGCAGCCTCTGGGAGGTTAAGTAACTGGCCCAAAGTAAATTGTTAATAAGGGCAGAGCCCAGATGGGAACCTGGTGTGCCTGGCTCTAAATCCCACACAGCTCTTTCCACCCCATGGCTCCACCACTCAAGCTACCTTCGATTTAAAACCCTGTGTATCTGACACCAAAGCTCTTTCCTACTAAAAAACAAGCATTTAAAGACCATCTGTCCCAACCTCCTCATGTTATTCATGTAGAAACTGAGGCCCACGGAAGGATAGAAACTTGCCCAACTGGGTGAGTGGACCAGGCCAGGAACCATCCTTCCTGCTACCACAGACGAGGTGTTGGAAACACTAGTGTCCCAGTTCTGGAGCCCTTTTTTGGTTTCCCATGACCTTGGGAGCTGGTAGGTGAGTGTATAGGGGGAAGGGTAAGAGGATCTTTTGAAACTCCAACAGGTTACAAGACTCCAAGGCACCCCTATCTCTAGCATATGAATATATATGTATATGTGTACACTTTTTTGAGATAAGGTCTCACTCTGTCACCCAGGCTGGAGTGCAGTGGTGCAATCACAGCTCCCTGCAACCTCGACCTCCCAGGCTCAAGCAATCCTCCCACCTCAGACTCCTGAGCAGCTGGGACTACAAGTGTGCACCACCATGCCCACATAATTGTTTTAATTTTTGTAGAGACAGGGTTTCACTGTGTTGCCCAGCCTGGTCTTGAACTCTTGTGCTAAAGTGATCCTCCCACCTCAGGCTCCCCAAAATACTGGGGTTATAAGTATGAACCACCATGCATGACCTCTTCCATCTTTTTGTGCTCCTCAAGGAAGGGGCCTGTCTCAGCCAAGTGGCCATGAAAAGACATCTGTGTGTCGCTGTTTCTCAAAGGGAGGCCTGGGACTGGGAAAATGCAAGAAAGGGAACAAAACCCATTAGACGCAAATTCTGGAATGAAAACCAATTATTTCCTAGTCTCATTGCATCTTGGCAGGCCCCTATCTGCCTCTAAAATCCAATTATTTTGCAATATGAAACTCTTGCTGGCCTTGTTCTTCTAATTGTACCAGGCTAATGACTGCCCCAACCCCAACGGGTCACCTTCTCTTCTTGGAGTAAAATCTTAGTCTGTGTCTACTCCAATGACACTCAACACATGCACAGCAGGCACCTACCAAGAACTGTGCTCTCTGTTAGTATTTGCAGGATAAAGGTCAGTTGCCCTGTTCTGAAAGAAAACATTTCTACTTCACAAGTTGTCAAAGAACCCATTCTGGGAACAGAACATCTCCCAGATCTGAGGAAGGCAATATGAAGTCTGTCCCTCAGAAGGTATTTATGGAAGTGCCCCCATGGGTGTCCCATGCAGAATATTGGCTAGGCTGTGAACTCCACGAGGGCAGGTGGGGAGTTTGCTTTGGTCTATTCATTGCTGTATTCTAGTGCCAAGAATGTGGTCTACAGGTGATACACATTTTTGTATGACTGATTGAACTCAATTAAGTATTTGGCGCTGCCCTAGGCCCTGAGCTGGAAACAAAGATAATAGTGAAACAAATCCTTCTTTCAAGGCACTCAGAGGTAAGCTGGGAAAATAAGACAAACAAGTACCTCTAGCACAATGAAGAAAGTAGTGAGCACCATTTTAAAGAGACGAGTAAAGTACTGTCAGAGTTTAGGAGCAACAGCCTCGCATTCTGCCAGGGAGTCAGCAGCCATCACAGGAGAGAATTTGACTGGGTTTTGGAAGATCAATAAGTGTTTTCCAGAGACAAACGGAAGAAGCCATTCCAGAGAGAATACTGAGGTTTCAGTGGTTTGTCACTCCTTATGTCACAAGACTTCAAGACACCCCTCTCTCTGGCCTCCTATCTTTGTGCTCCTTAAGGAAGGGTTTGTGTCTGCCAAGTGGTCCTGCAAGGACATCCGTATGTTGCAGCTTCTAAAACTCAAAGGGGAGTTCTGTAAGTTCCAGACCCTAAGAACATCATGATACCTGCCTTGCATTGTGACAAAAGGCTCCAACAAGGTCAGGATGTCCCGGGATGGACTTTGCAGTCATTAGACCGCAAATTAAAAATTAGAAGCTTATGCCCCACAAGGACCAGTGACTTTGGGAAGATTACAGCCCCCTGAGAGACAGTGACATTCAGTGACAGACAGACAGGCAGGTTGCAGAAGGAAACTGTATGCAGACTAGGAAGCCTCATTTTTGGAATCCAAACAGGTGGGGTCCCGAACCATTTGTCACACAAAGACTAAACCCATTCTCCTAAAGCCCAGCTCTAATCTTACCACTCTCTTCCTCAAAAGCCTTCAGGGGCTCTCACTGCATACAAAATAAAATACAAACACCTTGGCCTGCCAGGTAAGGCCCTGAGAAATGCCTTGCCTGCTTTCCTTACCTTCTCAGCTCAGTGGGCTCCTTCCCCAGCACACACACACACACACACACACACACACTCACTCTCTCTCTCTCTCTCTCTCTCTCTCTCTCTGCACTGTGGCTCCACCACACTCCCACTAAGCTACAAACCTGCCTCTGTGCAGCTGTGTTCACCAACGCAGACCAACCCCAGTCAGCTCAGAAATCTCAGGCTCACCCTACTCCCCCTGCCCAGACAGAAAAGGCTCAATGTTCTATAGAATTCAGATGATCTGGTTACATCCTGCAGAGAAACTCAATGCTTCAAAGCAACATCAATTCGTAGTAATCCCTTGGGTGAATAGAACAATGTCCCTGAAAAGTAATGAATAATCCTACAATATGGGGAAAGACATCAGCAAAGATTTGAATTGTATGTGAACGTGGATGTGTTTAAATTCTGCTCTGTGTGATCTTGGGCAACTTGAATTACCTTATCTACACCTTCTTTCCTTGTCTATAAAGTGGGGACCTCTCTGGGCTGCTTTGAGACGTAAATAGGACATTACACAGCTGGCTTGGAAAGCCCTCTCATGGGCTAGGTTTATTAATTACTAGCTATTATTATTGTGTTTGCTGTGAGATAAAGAGGCTGGAATGGCATCTTTAGAAGGATCTATCCCTGGGTGGAGGTGGGAAGTGATGCAGGAGTGGAGGGGATGTGTGGAGTCAGGGGCTCCCGTCAGAGAATGGGAAAAACAAGAGTGAGTAGGAAAAGCATCAGACCCCTGGGGAGAGAAAACAGGCAGCTGAGAAGCTGAAGGGATCACATAGGCCTATTGTGACTCAGCCTGCAGGAGTTATGGTCCCCAGGTGGAAGGAAGGGTTTGGCACTCAAGATGAGGTAAGCAAAGTTCACCCACAGCTAAACTTGGGCCAAAGGAAAGAGCTCTCTCAACCCCTGTCTGAGGCTTCTGAGGTCTGCAGCCAACCACCCTGTGGTCCTGAATCCTGCGGGCAAGGCCGGATGGCTGCCGACAGTGACCCCCTGTGGCCTCCAGAAGCCACTGCAGGAGTTCCTTAAGACCAGAGCACTTCACACACCCAAGTGAATGTTGGAATGACTCAGCTTCCAGGAGACGTAAAGCCCCCAGGGATTCCTGAGCCATTCAGGAGGAGAGAGAATCCTAAGCAGGGCACAGATCGGCCACAGGGGACTCAGGCTGGCATTATTCCGGGTTACAATACCAAATATATGTGGCATCTCGAGTGTAAGGAGCGCTTCAATCCAGTTATGTCCAAAGAGAAACTGCACGATGTTCCATTCCCATTAAGAAATAGAAAAAGCCCTTCTGTCTTCTTCAGCTGTCCTCCCAGCCCAGAATTCGGCTGTGCCCACTCCACTCCCAGGCCAGACTCTACCCCCTGGCCCTACCTGTCTCAAGCCTACAGTATTTTAGTATCACTGACCCTGACTCTAAGGCACACTCCTTTTTCTAAGAGGAAAGGAAATGGAACCCATATCACTGGAGCCCGACCTGGGCCTGAGCCCACATTTCCCACTCTGCTCTGTCAACGACCTGGCAACCAGTGTGCAGATTGTTGGTTAAAGGCTGCAACCAGAATGACACAGGTCAAGGAGCCAGAGGCGAACACAAGTCCCTCTGATGACTCCAAAATCCTGCTTACATTTCTAACCAAATAACACTAGCAATGATAAATGCCCAATTTTTACAAATAATATCATTTGTCAAATCAGGCTAGCTCATCTCTAAATCTCGAGGCAACTAGATGTTATCTAACTCCACACTCCTACAAGTTCACAGCTGAAAAACTATGAAATGAATTTCTGTGCCTGATGTATTCAGAGCGTCTCAGAAGCCAGAGCTCTGCTGAATAACAGAATTCTCTGTTGAACTGAATAAGTAACGGTATTCAAGTGATACTAAATGGGATAATTTCCCTTTTTTCTAACTTGGAGAATTTAATTTGGGTGTTTTATCAAAAACCGCTGCTCCCCCATAGATTAATGGCCCACTATATCTTTCATATTAAATTAATTGAGTGCAGAATGGTTTTGTTGGAT